ATGTGGAATGTTTTATTTTTAAGACAATGTCTAATATAATATTGAGAAATATAAAAGATATTTTCAAACAAGTAAAAGTTGACACTAAATAAGAAAATACAATAGCTAAACAACCTTAGTTATTGCAAATCCCATAAAATTACAATCATTTGCTTCTCATCTCTTTGAATCTTTTATGTTCTGATGGCAAGTATTTGATATCAATTGTGTCCTATGAGTGAAAAAAGTTGTCAATAATTGTGTCTTAGGGAGATATATACTTACAAGCTCAAAACCATAAAGATGTCATGATAGGGAGTAACATACTACTATTACTTAATTTCTCACATTATAATTATAATTATAATTGTTGTAATATAGTTCAAATTTAGTTTGTTAAGTTATTTGTTTGGAATACAAGTAACCACTTGTATATAAATACAAATATATAGTTGGATTACAAAATACAATTTTACTTATCATTCTTCACATTTTTTTCTCTAACTCTTTTTCATTCCTCACCTAAGTGCTTCAGCACTAGTAAATTAATATCTATAACTTCTGGTTCGTTCTTTTTTATCTTAATTCAAGAATTTTTCATTGGAGATCGTGTTTCTAGAGATCATAAATTGTATTTGCTGCAGAGATGATTTCAAAAAACCCTATAAATGGTCACTATTAGTGTTCATGAACTTACTCACAATGCAAATGACGCTTAGAGGATCAACCGCAAGGATGCCAAGAAGAAAGTTTGCAAGGGTACGTTTTGTATTTAATTTGTAGTGGATGCTGCGAATTTCGATCAAATCTCTCATGCTGAATTTGCAAAGGAGGCATGAGATATTCTTGTCAAGTATTACGAAGGTGGTGAGAAAGTTAAAGTTGTCAAGTTACAGGTGTTGCGAAGGCAGTATGAGTTACTGCAGATGAGAGAAAATGAAAAAGTTCCAGACTATGTCCCGAAGGTGCAGAATCTTATCCATCTTATGAGAGGTTATGATCAAGTCCTAACTGATAAAATGATAATTGAGAAGGTAATGAGAACCTTGATCTCTCACTTTGATCATGTTATCGTGCCCACTCAAGAATCCAATAATCTTGAAACTCTAAAATTAGAAGATTTGGTTAGTTCGTTGGAAGCGCGTGAGTTAAGGATAGTTGAGAGAAAAGGGGTTCAAGATTCGATGCAAGCACTTCAGGCTCAAACATGGAGAAACATGGAGGTTTCAGGTTTAAAGGCAAAGGTGACAAGTCCATGAGTAAGAAATGTAATTGGTTGGATTCTCACAAGCAAAAGCACGATGAAAGGACTTCTGAATCATTCAAAAGAGGATAAGGAACCTCGACTCAAAGAAAAACTCTAGAAGAAGAGCGTGCATTGATACAACTGTGAAAAATAGGGTCATTTGTCCAAGAATTGCTGGTATAAGAAAGACATCAAAGGTTCTTCAACAGATATGTTAAGCATTTGAAAATTGGTCGAAAAAGGTTTCTCTACGGTTATGAAAGATGGAGCCTTCAAATTGTTCGAAACTCAAAATAATTTGGTCTTAAAATCTCCTCTTCCAAAGAATAGAACATTTAAAATCATGATCTGTTTGACTGGGGTACAATGCTTAAAAATAATTTTCGGCCACAAGCATAGTTAGTGATGACACTTTAGGATTGGCCATTTGAATTTCAGGTCACTAAATTAACTAATTACTCAAGATATGGTAACTGGTATACCAAGTATTTTCATGCTTGACAAGTTCTATAAAGGTTGTTGGGTTGAGAAGCAATCGAGAAAGTCTTCATTTTGATTGTGCCAATGAGGTCCTCCTTCATACTAAAAGTAGTACATTCAGATATATGTGGCCCTTTTTGAAGATCATATACAATTGGTGGAAACAAATATTTTGTCTCGTTTGTTGATGAGTATAGTCGAAAAATATGTATCTATGTGGTTAAGGGCAAAGATGAAGTATTTGCAATCTTTAAAATATTAAAATTCCTTCTTGAAAACCAGAGTGAAAAGAATATCAATGTTCTAAGGACATATTGAGGTGGAGAATACACATCCAAGTTGTTTGAGGAGTATGTACAGAATATGGTATTGATTATTAGGTAACTGCTCCATACACGCCTCAACATAAAGGAATACCATAAAGAAGAAATATGACTATATGTGATATATCTAGATGCAAGTTTAAGCAAACAAACCAACCGAAATCCCTGTGGGGTGAATCAATCACCACTACTGTCTATACACTGAATATATGCGCTACTAAGATACTGAAGAACAAGGTTCTTGAAGAAGTGTAGAGTGGCAAGAGACCATCAGTGTGTCATCTGAAGGTGTTTGGATCTATTTGCTACAAGCGTGTTCCTAAAGGAGAAGAAAACTTGAGGAAAAAAGAGTGAACATATGATTCTGGTATGATATCACAAGACTGGAGCATACATTTTATTCAATCCAATCAATGGTAAGATTTTGATGAGTCAAGAAATTAGGATTGATTATGACTTTGATTGGAATTAAGACCCAAATGATGCAACAAACAAATGATTGATGAGTTATGAATTTGATGAAGAAAGTAGTTATCATAATGAGGTTCCACTTAATGATTTCCTAGTAGTTACCAAAGTTCCAACTTTCGAAGTAGGAAATCATAAAGGTGTGGTAGGCACAAGAAAAAGACCTCAAAAAGCCGGAGTTTTCCCAACAAGACTTCAAGACTGTGAAGTGGTTGGTGATGATGAAGTCACACTAGTTGGAGACTTGATTCATTTTTATTTACTTGCAGGTGTTGAACCAATCAACTTTATTGAGTCCTTAAAGAATAAACAATGGAAGACATCTATGGTCGAAGAGTTACAAGCCATTGAAAGAAACAATACATGAGAGTTAGTCGAATTATTAATACACACACAAAAGTTATTGAAGTGAAGTGGGTGTTTAAACTGAAGTACAATCCTTATGGGTCAATTGTAAGACATAAGACAAGACTGGTAGCACGAGAATTTCTTCAAAGAATATGACTCGACTACCTTGAAATATATGCACCAGTTGCAAGATTGGAGACTATCATACTAGTGGTAGCCTTAACACAAAGCCACTTAGTTTTGTGATACAAGAGGAAGCAAGGAAAGTGTATAAGTTACACAAAGTCATTTATGGCCTCAAACAGATACTTATGACATGGAACAAGAAAATTGACTCATACCTAGTCGAATTGAGATTCATTAAATGTAGGTCTGAGTATGGTGTTTATGTACATGTCATGGCACAAGACATAATCATCATCTGCTTATATGTTGATGAATTGCTACTAACTAGAAATATCACTGAAAACTTGTTGAATTTCAAAGAGCTGATGAAGACAAAATTTGAAATGTAAGATATGGGAAAGTTGTCTTATTTACTAGGCATGGAATTTCAAATTACCAAATAAGGTATGGAGTTACATCAAAGGAAGTATGTCAAAGAAATACTCAAGAGATTCAGGATGGCTAATTCAAATCATGTATCCTAATTTATCGAACCAAATTTGAAACTAGGGAAACATGGAAACGAGGACAAGGTCGATGTTACTTTGTTCAAACAAATTGCAGGATCTTTGAGGTATGTGTGCAATAGCGCACCTGATATAGGTTTTTTGGTCGGATTAGTGAGCAAATGCATAGATGAACCAAAAGTGTCACACATGAAAGTTATAAGGAGAATCTTGAGAAGAAGCTTTGATCAATTTCTATTTAGATGTTGATTGATGTGGAGATAAGGAGGATAGAAGAAGCTTGACTGGCTATTTCTTTTAACTGTTTGGTGTCCTAATCTCATGGTGGTCGAGAAAGTAACTCGTAATGGCATTATCATCATGTGAGGATGAATATATAGCAGAATTCTATGCTTCCTGGCAAGCAATTTGGATCAGATATGTGTTGGATGAGATGAAGGATAAAGTAAAGAGACAATTGGTGTTGCAGATCGACAATAAGTCAGCCATCAATCTTGCAAGAAATCTAGTTTTGCATGGAAGAAATAACCACATTGAGACTATGTTTCATTTTCTAATAAAGAAGGTAAATCAATGTAAACTTGAGGTAAAACATTGCTCGAGTGAAGCACAAGTGACCAATATTTTTACCGAAGAATTGAAGATTCACATATTCCTATTTTTTTAAAAGATATTAGGAATAATTTAAATTAATAATGATTAGTTTGATATTTGCTACTTGAATTATAATGGATTACATTATAATATAATCCAAATTTAATTTATTATGTTAGTTACTTAAAATATACGCAATTATATATATATATATATATATATATATATATATATATATATATATATATATATATATATATATATATATATATTACAAAATACAATTTCCCTTTTCATTCTTCAGATTCTCTCTCTAATTCTTTCATCCCTTTCTCACCTAAATGCTTCATCACTTACAATAATGATGTTTAAATCCAAACTTGATTAAAGTAATTAAACAATGAATTCTAAAGTTTAAACACAAGTAAATTGAATTACATGACTTTGAAATATACCAAGCATACTAGTACAAAATTGACAGACATACTTAAATAGTCAATTAAATGTGTATTCTTTGATGTGATGTTAAATTAAATTTGATAAGTATCACAAACACCGATAGAGGTTTCAATGTCACAATCGGCTACTAGCAATTCTATACCGAAACCGAATGCCTCTGTCCCCACACCCATGTACATTTTAGAACCCACAACCTAATCCACCACGTGCTCTTCTATAAGGTGGACCTCCATAAATAAAAACACACACTCCTCCTGAAAATCAAATAACAATAATAAATACACACTTTTCTTTTACCTCCCTACAATAAAATAAAATATAAACACTTTCTCTTTCTTTCACCTTTCCACTCTATTTAAACCCAACCGTGTCTTCCTTTTCTCTCCCTCCCAAAACCTCTTTTCTTTCTTTCTCCATGATCATTTCATTTCTTTATTCACTTTGAAAAAAACCACCAAAATCTCTATCATCATGGCACCTTCTTCACTAGCACTCAATTCTAACACTTGGACTACTAGTACTAATAATAAACCTCAATTCCCACACTCTTTCTCCATCTCCTCATCATCCTCTACATCATTCAATGATAAATCCACCCTAAACCTGAAGAAGAAGCCCAATAGAAATATATTATTACTTCACTGTGCTCTTCACTCTCCCTCAGTATTGGATTTTCCAAAACAATCCTACAAAGAACCCTTAATTAGCAAAGAAAATGACACTGAAACTAGTATAAACAAACCAAAAGAATCCTCACAGTGGAATCCAATACAAAAAGCCGCAGCAATAGCACTGAACATGCTAGAAAGCGCGTTGCTCTCACGCGAGCTCCAATATCCACTTCCGAAAACTTCGGACCCGAGAATTCAAATAGCTGGAAACTTCGCTCCGGTGCCGGAACAACCAGTCGTTCATTCCCTCCCCGTTACCGGGAAAATCCCCAACTGCGTCAACGGTGTTTATGTACGTAACGGTGCCAACCCATTGTTTGAACCAGTTTCCGGACACCATCTTTTCGACGGTGATGGCATGGTTCACGCTGTAACCATTAATGATGGTGTTGCAAGCTACGCTTGCCGCTTCACTGAAACAGAGAGGCTCGTTCAGGAGCGAGAGATAGGACGAGCGATGTTCCCTAAGGCCATCGGAGAACTCCACGGTCACACAGGCATAGCAAGGCTTATGCTGTTCTACGCTAGAAGTCTTTGCGGCATCGTTGATCACAGACGCGGTTCCGGCGTTGCTAACGCCGGTCTTGTATACTTCAACGGAAAACTCCTGGCTATGTCGGAAGACGACCTTCCCTACGAACTCCGAATCACTTCCTCTGGTGACGTTAAAACCGTTGGTCGTTACAGTTTCTTGGACCAGCTTCATTCCACCATGATCGCACACCCGAAGATTGATCCAGTCTCCGGCGAACTCTTTGCATTGAGCTACGAGGTTGCTAGACCTTACTTGAAATACTTCCGATTCTCACCAGACGGAAAAAAGTCACCGGACGTCGAAATTCGTCTCCAAGTTCCAACAATGACGCACGATTTCGCGATCACAGAGAACTTTGTAGTAATCCCCGATCATCAGGTGGTGTTCAAGTTGGAAGAAATGATCAAGGGTGGTTCACCGGTGATATTCGACGGTGCAAAGAAATCAAGATTCGGCGTCCTTCCAAAGTATGCAAAAGACGCTTCAAGCATCATTTGGGTGGATTCACCTGACACGTTTTGCTTCCATCTTTGGAACGCATGGGAAGAACCAGAAACTGATGAAATAGTGGTTATTGGTTCGTGCATGACGCCACCTGATTCAATCTTCAACGAGAGCGATGAAAATTTGAAAAGCGTTTTATCAGAGATAAGACTGAACTTAAAAACAGGTAAATCCACGCGCCGGTCGATAGTTCCACAGATGAATCTAGAAGCTGGGATGGTGAACAGGAACCGGCTCGGTAGAAAAACCCAGTTCGCTTATTTGGCAGTTGCGGAACCGTGGCCGAAAGTATCAGGGTTCGCTAAGGTGGACCTTGTAAGTGGGGAGGTGAAGAAACATATCTACGGTGATGGAAGGTTCGGTGGAGAACCGTTTTTCTTGCCAACAACAAGTTCAGGGAGCTGCGAAAATGAAAACGATGAAGATGAGGGGTACATTATGGCTTTAGTGCATGACGAAAGGAGATGTAAATCAGAGTTACAGATAGTAAACGCCGTGAACTTGGAAGTGGAAGCGACCGTTAAGTTACCTTCTAGAGTGCCGTATGGTTTTCATGGTACCTTTGTGGAAGCTAAGGATTTGACGTTACAATGAGACGTAACTATTTAGGTAAGAACAAATGGTAAAAATTAAAATAAAAAATATAATAAATAGTGAAAATTAGAAAGAAAAAGCGAAAAGGGGAATATGAGCAGAGGGATATACAGTAGTAGTAGATGTCCCCGGATTCTCCTTAAGAAAGATTTTGTTGGTATTGGTAATTATTAAGAAGGTTTAGTTCAGTTTGGTTTGGACATGTTTTGAGGAATCAGCTTGTAGCTTTGTACTTGTAGTACTGTGTATATATTGAGTAGACGGAGCTCAGCTGCTTTCTGTTTCTTTCTTTTTTTATCGTGTATTTAATTTATTTACCAGGAAATAGAAATGCCTTTCCTTTTCAATTTTTGTTCCGTCAGATTATTAGGAATATCTTTCCTTAATTACTCGAGTTTCAAGGTTCATATCCTATTTTGTACTGAATGATATTAATGGTTTTGTACCGTTCGTAAAAACCACTTTAGTAACCAATTACAATTCAGATAGAACCATAGGCAAATCACGTGAATATATAAAGATGTATGTATCATAGTGATAGTGATATGAATTAGGAAGCTAAAGCATTGTATAGAAGGAGATCAACGATTTTTCATATACTCACAAAATAGAGTAACGAAATTCAACTTTGACACTATATAATCAACACAGTATTAAATGTACTACATGTTTATTTGATGTTTTCTAGTTACAATTAGAGAGAAAATGATTTAAAATATCACAAATTAACTCGAAGAAATATCTATAATCTATTCAATTTTCCTTGGATTTCACTAATATTTGTCTAGAAACAAAGATTTAAGTACGGTATATTCATTTCTATTTTTTAAATAACACTAATCAAAGAAAATGATTAAGATCTAGTGGGCACCAGCCAACAATTACATCACTAGCAGGCAATAGAGATCTCCCCACTTTGATGGAGAATTACATTCCCTTAATTTTTGGAATTTATAAAAGTCATGACATATATTTTTAAAATTGGATATTGAGGTGAATATATTTTAGACCGGTCAAAAACTTAAATAATTAAGGTTTGAATTAATTTAAATTTCATTTCCGTAATCTAAGTTATAAAAATCATTTTACATAAAAGTAATGTACTCTTTTTTATATATATTTTTCATTACAATTATCTTAAATTTTAAATTGACTTGAGCGTTAAAGTGTTAACCATATAGATCCACCCTACCATATCGGAGATTAGCACCACCGGTTTAGAATTTCTCACCACACACATCAACCATTTCTGATTCCTGTATAGATCAGTGGCGTCGTCAATGAGAATCGGCTTCTGATTTTCCATAAAATTTTCCAAGCAAGATTTTTTCGATCCAGAATTAGATCGATACCAGAAGTAGAGGAAATAAAAGAGGTAACTCCATTAACCATGTTTGGAGATCCGTTTAGTCCTCTGATTCAATACTCCGACAATTATCATTGATCAACGAGATTTGCGATGCAGGAACATCCAATACCTATCAGCCATCAGAATACCTTATATTAGTGACTTGTACTGACACTTACTAGAGTGAAGGTCGATTGGAGCTAGGATTTCTAGATCGCAGAAAGATCAATGGAACTCTGAACTTCGATATAGCTCTGATTTTCGACGTCAGCATCGCTTGCTGAAATCTAAAATGATTCTTTGTAATTGGTGGAAGCTCTTTAGACACCGAATTTATTTTTGAGGCTAAGTATACATAATGGCTAACATGTCTTCTGAAATTTCTAATGGTTGACCACTATTTATGAAAATAACATTCAAATTCATTTTATATTTTGACTTCTTAGCCTCGTGTGTTTATTCTCTCTTGTTCGATACTTGGAGAGACTTCATCGATTGTTTCAAGAGTGTCCTACATTTCCTTGGCGGAATTACTTTTAAAGACATAAATTGATTTTCACTTGAAGTCATAACCAAATTTTTTTTTTATCTTTAAAATAAATTTTAAGCTTTCTCTTGTCTTCGTTGGTCTAAAGAAAATTGGGTTTATATATTACTTCACCATTAACATAGTGAGTAGGGATAAACAAACTATTGATTATTGTTTTCCACAATTCGAGATTAATGCTTTGAATGAAAAATTTAACTCTAGTTTTCCATAATTCAAACCTATCACCATTAAATGGTGGATGTGTGTTTAGGAATTTCATCTTGTTAAAAGAAGTGTACGAAGTCATCTTTCTTCTAAGACGATTAGTCTTTAAACAGGAGTTAGGCTCTAATTCCACTTGTTAGACATGTGACTCCAAACACAAGAAGATGCGTAAATTGAGAGGTTTGAAAAATGTTGATTTAATATAAAATCATTTGTAAAAATAATGTTTTAAAACATTGTAAAACATACAAGTGAATAAGCAACGAAAAACCAAAAGAAAGACAATAAAGTAAATAGACAAGGGTTAGAGAGATACGCTAGATATTTATACAAGTTCGGCCTAAATTGACCTACTATAGTCCTCAATAATTATTCTTGAGAGTATCTAATAAACTTGATTGATTTTAGAAGGATATGTCCATGAACCTCCTTAAATAAGGAATGAATTTTTAAGGCCAACTTCTAACCAAATAATGAACAAGGCTTAGAGTGGTTATCCTCCAAACCAAACTGCGATTTTCCATAGGTTGCTCTCAAACCAAATTAGAGTTTTGAGTTGGATATCCTCCAAACTGAATCGGGGTTTTGCATAGGCTGAGCATGAACCAGGGTAAGATTTTATATTGCCTATTCTCAAACCAACTGAGCTTTTACCAGGCTGACCTTAGGAACCAAGTGAGATTTTGACCTGATTGATCTCGAACCAGTAGAGTCTTTAACAGACCCAACTCAAGAACCCTTGTAGAGATTTTAATGGATTATTTAGTTAAAAAAAGTCTTCCAATCATTCAGACCTTCCCCTAATCAACAGGCTAGCCCTTAAAAACCTTTTCAGGTGGTTTAAGTAAAATATGATAGGGTTTTCAAAGATTTTTAGTGTGTATGATTTAGCCATAGTTTTTTCAGAAATACCATTGTATCTTTACAAGACATTAGTCACTCAGATGGACACAACCATGTGAGCTATCACACTTCCTATCTTTCACAACTTTGAAGTTTCAAGTATTGACATCATTATCTTTGATTTTAAAATTATTCAAGAACTTTGAATCTTCTTAGTGAGGCTTGAGATATCTTCATGTTGATTTCCATTACCTGAGAATTGAGAGTTTAAACCACCGGTGACCATTGAAACAAAAGTCTTCACTTGAGTGTCGTTTGACCATAATGTTGACTTGATCTTCAAGAATATCTCTAAGAGGATAGCTTGATTCAGAAGGAAAGCTTAATAAACCATCTTAAGCATCTTAAACTCCTCGAGCTATCTTCAACAAATACTAACTTCACTAGATATTGTTTGATACTAAGTATTGTCATCAGCAAAACTAAACAACTACTTAGTTGACTTGCAACTTTGTTATCCATAAAATTTACTACCTTGGATCATCTTGATAATAACTGCAATCACATAGTACCACAATATGTAAATAAGTCATTGTCTCATTTCTAGTTCCACCCAATGTGTATATGGTTGTTATCTTGGCTTTAATCTGGTCTTTATGCCTTCGATCGTTGTGTTATGTTTGCATGGCCACTTAATTCATTGTTCATTCTTTATCTGAGATTCAAATTTGTGACTTCTATCCAAATTCGTGACATGACTTAAGGCAAAGTCAATTTCGTGACTTAAAGTCGAGTCAACCTCATAACACAATGACCTCTCCCACATGACCAACATGTATTTTTTATCTGTGCTTCCAACATAGCTATTATCAAGTGGGTCGATTTTCTTATGTCAAGTGGTTCTGGGATGTCATGTTTATAATGACACACACTAATGACCCATGTAACACCCCGTTTCCCAAAATAAAATAAATGCAATTAAAAGATAAACAATTATCAGAGTTTCACACCACAAAACGGGATGTCACAGAATAAACTCAATCACGTAAACATTTTCATTAAATGATTTTCAACAAAATAACACAGCAGAAATTATTCATCATCATATATATACATATCATCATATACATGTCATGTACATCAACCTCGGCCAACTGCCCAAAATACACAAGACATATATTCACAAAAAGAACCCATCAACACATGATATGCCACAGGGGCACACAAAATATCAGATGAACATAAAACTCCCCAAAGCCCCGGTGTTACGTATCAGAGCATCCCTACGACTCGCCACAAACCAAGCTAGCTACACACCTGGATTATCTGTACCTCCGAAGAAGCACAGACCACAACAAAAGTAAAGGGGTGAGAAATCACGATCAAAAAATAACGGTAATAATGTACATGAATAAAAAGGAAGTAAATCACACAGCTATCATTCACATACATTGACCTGGACCTACTGTCCCACACCAACATAACATATAAAACAATGCAACACATGCAACTCAAACCATGATATGCGGTACCGACTCAACAATAGAAACGATGGGCACCGGGCCATCACCCTTCCCGAAGGAACACATTATCATCACTGATGGGCACCAGGCCATCACCCTCCATACAGGAGCACATTATAAATAGGATAGATCACTTACGCTCCCCTGAGTCAGGATCTATCCCTCACAATCACCGATAGGCACCAGCTCATCACCCTCCACACAGGAGCACAATATCACTACCGATGGGCACCAGGCCATCACCCTCCACACAGGAGCACATCATCACACCATGCTATGCATAACCCCAATGCACAACACACAACAACAGATACATTAAGCGTACACAATTCCACTGATCACATTTCATCACACATCATATATATATATATATATATATATATATATATATATATATATATATATATATATATATATATATATATATATATATATATATATATATATATATATATATATATATATATATATATATATATATATATATATATCACACTATACCTCATTCATACGCAATCACATACACCGAATT